TTCAAATGCAACGTGCTGATGGCATACATTGAACCTTCTGGCGAGGGCACTGGCAGCAACACGTACTAGATACCAAAGAGTTGTCAATGAAGCGTTCAATAAAATTTCATTCCATGGCGTGGGCAGAGAGTTAAGGGGCTATGTAGTACAAACCCCCGCGCCGCCGCCACGGCCCGGCGAGCGAATGAAGAAGAAGGAGATTGCTAGTCTCTACGTATGCGAAGTCTTTGTATAATGATGAAGATAACGCGAAACACGTTCATAGATATGTAGTACAAAAGTACTTTGACTACTCGTTCTCTGCGTGCAATACCATAGCCACCAATCGACGCTCATTTAATACAACACACCCTTTCCCTTGCCCTACATCTCTTGAGCACCTAATTCTGCCAGACAGCCGCATGTTTGGTTGGGACTCGCCAGTTCGGAACAAACAGCGTGTCGTCGCATCCAACTAGTACAATGGGCTCATCCAACGGTTTGCTGTAAGGTCGGATTCGCTCCCCCTCTACCAATCTTCTCGAGATGCTTTGCAGCCCTATGTCCCTCGTTTCCACTTTTCATTTAGCTCTCTCTCACAGCACACACCCAACCTCGACTCGCATGAATGACGAGATTCACTTCCTTGCATCGGCCAAGCAACTGGCCAAGACATGGCCACGCACGACGTCTCTCTTGGCACCTTGGACGACAGCCTTCACTCTCGCACCAGTCGTTGTCGCGCCATCAATCGGCGCGGGATCGCACACGCTGGGCTACTTTGTCCAATACGATCTGACGTTCACGTGCCCAATCACGTCACGATCGTGGACCCTTCACACGCGCTACTCGCTGCTGCTCCAACTCCGCATGCAATTGGCGCAGCTCCACGCTGCGATGCCGTCGCGATCCCTTCCCCACGTGCTCCAGCTGCCTTTTCCCGCCAAGACGTGGGACCCGGAGAGACCACGTATCATTGCCGAGCGCATGAGGCGTTTTCAGACCTTTGTCGAACATCTCTGGAGCTTGTACGCGAGCTGCGTTGTGCCGACGGCTGGCGCGCCAAAGGAAGCGGACGACGTCGTTCAATGCCTTCGCGCGTTCTTGTGCGTGCCGGAGGCTGTGCTAGCGATCTCGGTGCGCCGTATCAACGAGATGCCCCAGGACATGGACCCGTGCGTGGTGTGCTTGGGTGAGTTTGCCGTTGACGATTTGAGCTGCCCGTCGACAGTGCTCGAGCTAGCGTGCGGTCATGTCTTCCACCAAGCTTGCCTTCAGCAGTGGTGTGCGGTGGCGGCAACCTGTCCGACGTGTCGATGCGATGTGGGGTACATGTCGCTCGTAGAAATATAACTCATTGCTCTTGTATGAGTTGATGTTGTTTAAAACACAATAACGTGATCTCTCCATTCTAAACGCTCGTCAAACGTTTGTACACCAAGCACGAGCGATCTATCATGAACGATGACCGCGGGATTCGGTGCCGCATTGAGGCGGTCGCATGTGTGATACTACAGTCCGGCGCTTGCACAAACCACGTCAGTTTCTACTTCAAGCAGCCGACAGGTCCGACCACGCCAAGATAGACATCCCCTGAAAGACGATTTCATCCCTAGGATAAGTTGAATTGTTCGGCCAATGCGATCGTGGCATTTGGTACCAGCATTGTAGCGTATCTTGTGAGTGATGGTCGAATCAAGTGTATGCGAATCATCTTGCATGGCACATCTTTGAGAGCTGTCTTTGGGTGCTTGCTGCGTCTGGTTGGTTGACCAAGCAA